TATATATATATATATAACAACTATTGTAAAAATATTGGCAGTATAGAAAAAATATAAAAGACAAGGAGAACAATCATCCATAATTTCTGACTCACAAAAAAATCATTGCTAATACTATTTAAATATATTTCTCCTGGTCCTATTTTCATGCATTTAAAAATACCTAATTGATTGGGCCAGCAGGTGGCATGGAGGTTAGGGTTCTGGATCTCACGTGGCTAGCTCCAAAGTTCAACTCTCAGACCTAGCAGCTTGAAAATCATGCTGGTGCATGTGCGAGCATGCCCAAAATCCTGAGAGGAGAATGGAGTAGAAGAGAATTATGGCATGCCATCCCTCTTAGGGGGTGATTTCTCACTTTCTCTCTCTCTCTGGTGAGCACACATGTTCCTTCTATTGCAAAAAAGGAAGAGAATTGATTTTATGATGTTTATGAAGTTTTTTTCTTGCCATTTTCACTCAACATAATAACACAAGCATTTCTCATGTTAGAAAAACTTTCAACAAAGATAATCGGATGACGGCATAGTAGTCCAACAACATATTATTATTTACTTAATTTCCCCCATTGTGGTTATTTAAGTTGTTTCTAGTTTTCATGCTTACATACAATATGATAACTTTAAAAACTAAAGTAACACATTAAGAATCATTATGCATAAAGCTTTTTCTATATTTAGCATTATTCCCTTAGAATGGATTCCCAGAAGTGCAATTACTGGGCCAAAGGGTATGAGCATTTCTAAGGGTCTTGAAACATGCTGCCAAATTGTTCTTCCAAATGTACCCTCAAAGTATGTGAAGGCTGTTCTCACATCATAGTGCTTTTCCAATTTTTCTTAATCTTTGCTAATTGAAAATTAAAATTAAATGTAAAAGCTGATTCATTTAAATTAGCTTTGGTTTGTATTTCTTTTTTCATCTGGAAGTGCTGTGCTCCTCCTTTCTGTAGAGAATTGATTCCTAACTGGAATCTAAGAGAAAAATTCCTATCGGCCATGAAATTATCTCCTGTTTACATTTTTGCCGGTTTGTCCTGGCTGTCATTGTGTTTGTGGCCAGTATTGATGAAGCTACATGGAGGAAGCTTTAGGACATGTGGGCTTATGGAAATGAAGCATCTCTCATGTATTTGTTTAGTACCTATTTTTCAGCTTCTACTAGGAACTTGGCACTGGGAATAAATTATATAGGGAGAAACTCAGACATTGTTCCTATGCTGTGGAGACCAGTTTGCAAGAGAAAGACAGAGAGAGAGAGAGAGAAGAAAACGGAGAGAATGCACAGAAGCTGCCAGGAGACACTGGGCCTGCCATCTTATTCTGTTATCCTCTTGATGGAATGTAAACTGTGATCATAGAAATGAAGCTTCATTCAGCTTGACAGA